CTGTGCAGCTCGTAGAGCTGGCACACGTGCTGGCGGAGGCGCCGGGCGCCCGTGCTGAGCAGCGCGGCCAGCCCGACGCCCAGCAGCAGGTTCAGCGTGCGGTGAGGGGCGCCCTCCTGCAGGAAGCTCAGGCCGCAGGTCAGTCCACAGCCCAGTGAGTACTGGCACACGAGGTACAGCTGCAGCTTCTCAGAGCCCCGGGAGCCCTGGGGAAGGTGGCAGAAGAAGGGCCACGATGGCGGGGGCTCAGGCCACTCCTCGCCGTGGGAGGACCAAGAGGGTGTCAAGGTACAGACGCTCCACTCGGCAAGAGGCTGGAGCCTGAAGGAACCTCAGGGATCATTCCCAAAGAGGAAATGCTGACTTCAGGTCAGGCCCTAATGGGAACGTTTCTTTCAGCTTAATTACAATCATGATTATGACTTGAGACCTATGTGCTTGCTTGCTGAAGGGTAGTGGCTCAGAGCCTTGATGACCTGGGTTCAAAGCCCGGCTCTACTGCTTGCTGGTTGTTGACCACAGAAAGGCAACTTACCCTCTCTGAGCCTCAGTTTCCTATCTGTGAAATGGGCATCACAGCAAAGCTTCACGCCTGCGGTTGTGAGGACAAGATGATGCACTCAGAGCGCCTAGCGCAGTGCCTGGCTCGTGGGAAGCTCTGGACATCCAGGAGCTGCCGCTATTACCTTTGTGGACTAGGGATGTGTCCACTCTGATTGGAGACTTGGCTTCAGCCATCACAATTGGGCCCAGTTTCCCGTGTTCTGGGGTGAAAACTAGGCCCTAGGGCCAGGCAGTCCTCAGCCACCACTGCCCTGTGGTCTCACCTTGTCCAGGGAAAGCAGTATGGAGACAGCCCGGAGGGAGAACTCGAGCACCACAAGAGCAGCCACCCGGACCCCCACGACGGTCAGGATCAGAGCCAGCCCTGCCAGGTGCACGGTCTCCAGCGAGGCCCACCTGGCCCGCAGTCGCTCCTTTTCGAGCTGCCGCTCCGGGTTGCTGTGGGGGCAGAGGGGGAACGGGCAGAGGGGCAGAACCACTAGCCTCAGCCATGGTAAGGGGTCCTGGTGCCCCCAGCCACATCCTGGCAGAGAGGGAAGGGGTGGTCTCTTCCCCCCAGTCTCCCCTTGGAGGCTAGAGTTGCAATGTGGGGCGGTGGGAGGGCGGACTGGGGGGCTGGGAGTGGGCCGGGGAGGTGGGCACTCACTTGGCACAGACCACGAAGAAGTAGACCTTCAGGAGGTTGTTCAGGACCGAGACTCCGCAGGCCCCGACGAGGCCTGACAGGGGCAGTAGGGAGGGTAGGCGTGCTTGGTACGGTTAGAGGAGGGGGCGGCCTCGGTTTAGGGGATCTGCGTGGGCGGGGTCCGCCCTGCCCTGAGCAGGTGCCCTGGAGGGAGTGAGATCAGGGAGGCGCTCACCTTGCAGGAGGACATCGGGGAGGCCAGAGACCCACTCGAGGGAGGGGAGACTGGGGAGCCAGGAGGGGAGGGAGAGCAGGGAGAACATGGCGGCCACCGGGATCCAGCCCCAGCCCCTGGCCAGGTCTGCACCGTCACAGTCACCGCCCCGGGCAAAGGTGTCCAGGAGGGGAGGGGAGGGGAGGGGCTGGGAAGGGTCAAAGCCCAGGGAAAGGCAGGGGAGGGGAGGAGAGCCAGGGCCTAAGAGCCTCCCAGGCCACAGGGCTAAGACTGCCTCCCAGATGCTCCCCAATTGGCAGCATGGGGTGAGGGCATCTCTGGGTGGGCTGGTCTCTGTCCTGCCTGTCTGGCGCCAACTTTTCTCACACTTGCCACATGGTACCTTCCTGAGGTCCCAGGCCTCATCTGTTCTCCTCTAGCCTCTGGTCTGAGTTCTACCTCTCAGCCTGAAGTGGGGTAGGGGGGTTTCTACCCCCCACCAGCCTGGGGTTGGGATCCAGCTCTGGGCCCCACCCCCTGCCGCTATGCAGCCTGTCTTGACCATCCTCCCCGTGTCCACTAGGTGGCAGGCCTCACACGGGCCTGAGCGGTGGGGCTGGCCTGCCCCAATTCTTCTGGATTCTCCTTTTCCAGACTGAGAAAGAGACCAGGGTGGGGGTTCAGGGTTGGGAGACTGAGGCGGCCAGCAGAGGGGAGTCATTGAAGTAGACAAAATAGAAAACTTTATTGGTTTGGAGTGTGCAATGGGGGCCCCTGGGGAGCAGCTCTTTGCAAACATGGGGTGTGGCAGGCAAGTTAGTCAGGCTGCTTGATCTCAGCCAGTCCTGCCCCTTCAGGGACTTGGTGTCCACTTCGAACAAAGGTCAGTGCCAGCCTCGGGACACGCCCATGGAGGGAGTGTGGCTGCAGCTTGGGGAGAGGGCCTGGGATGAGGACACCCAGTTCTACAACTTGGGCAAGTCACGTCCCTTCCCTGGGCCTCGGGCTGCCCATATGAGCAACAGGCACCTCAGGAGCTTTCAGAGTTGTCGTGAGGACATGTGCAAATGCCCACAGTGCTGAGCGTCCCGGGGACCCTCAGGAAAAGCCCTCAGCTGATGGGCTGAATTGTGTCCCCTCCCCCACCCCAAACTCTGTGTTGAAATTCTCATCTCCAGTGCCTCAGAATGTGACAGTGTTTGGAGACAGGCTCTAAGGAAGTAATTAGGTTAACATGAGGTTATTCGGGTGGGCCCTCACCCAATGTGACGGTGTCCTGAGATGAAGAGTTTAGGACACAGACATGCACAGAGGGACACAGGGAGAAAATGGCCACTTGTAAGCCAAGGAGAGAGGCCTCAGAGGAAACCAACCCTGCTGACACCTTGCTCTCAGCCATCTAGCCTTCAGAATTGTGAGGAAATAACTGTTGTTTACGCCGCCTAGTCTGAGGTCCTTTCTAACAGCAGCCCTAGCAGACTAAGACACTACGGCTTCACGGTGCGCCCCAGGGCCTCCCCAAGTGCACGGGGATCCCCCGGGGCACTCCAGCCCCCATGGTCCTGGCCCCTGCCAAGGGCACAGGTCCGGCTGGGCAGAGCTTAGTCCCCAGTCCCGGCTCGGCCCCTTCAAAGCTGTGTGGCTTTGGTCACGGCACTTCGCCCTTCTGAGCCTCGGCGTCCTCCTCAGTAAGAGAATTTTGCCGTCTCATACCGTGTGGACTAAGCGAGCTGAGGCGTGTAAGGGGTGCAGCTCACGGTGATGTTCACGCCCTGGAGCAGTTATTAGAACAGTGAGTAAGGCTCCGGGATAAGGTAACCCAGGATGGAGAGGGAAGAGAACTTTCTGGAGAACGGAGTGGGTGATGATTCGGGGAGGATGTGCTGGCCCCTGGGTGGACCGTGGGGCTGGGTTAACCACAGCTGTCTACACTCTCCCTGAGCTGTGGCAGGGCCTGGGCCTGGGCCCACTCTGGGGTGGCCATTCCCAGCTGGAGCGGGCTGTCGCTTCCTGCCAAGTGCCCAGCTGTGTCAGGAGTGAAGGATGCCACCTAGGTGCTCTGGTGCTGGCCCCGCCTGGCCAGTTTCCGGAGCTCATCCCAGAAGAGCATGCTGAGGATGGTGTGGGGGCCCAGGCGCAGGTAGGCGGGGCCCAGACCCTTGTAGAGCGCCAGAGGGCCCTCCTGCCGCCAGATCTTCACCAGGCAGTCGGCGAGGCCACCATACAGCTGGCCCTGGAGAGACACAAGGCAGATGTCACTACAGGGGTCAGGGGCCCTGGCTGGCACAATGGGGACTGTCTGTGTGAGGGCTTCTGTGGCACATCAGAAAAGGCACTCCCCTCAAGCTGGGAAAACTACATAAAGGTGGCCCTTTAGGCTGCGAAAGTTAAAAGGGTACCTCTTCCTCCAGGCCACATGCCAGGGCCTCAGCTTGGCTAGTGGCTCGCAGGTGCATTTCACATGTCCGCATGCCTCTGGCTCTGTGTGTGTGTGTGTGTGTGTGTTGGGTGGGGCTCTCCAGCTCCCATGCCCTCCCCAACCCTGTCCCCTGCTCACCCTGCCTGCTCCATCCACGGGCTGATTGTACAGGCGCGTGCTGACCACATCGAAGGGGGTCATGACTGCGACCACAGCTATGCTGCTGATCATGCCTCCAGCCAGGGCCACCAGCCAGCTGTCCTCCGGGAGCCACTGTGGGGACGGTACAGGCTGCTGACTCCTGTAGCTGCCCTCCACCAACCCCCGTGGTGCCTGCCCTGTCCTCTCAGTGCCTGGGGGCTAGAAGAGCTAGGGGAAGAGGGCAGACAAGGCCCCTCCAACACTCCCCATCCCCTGACCCCTCTGAGCTCCTTCACAGCCTCTGAGTTCACAGCTGACCCCTACTCTTGCTGGACCCAAGGGCCAGGGTCATGACCTTGAGGGCAGAGCCGGGGCCCTCAGCTTTCTTAAGAGGCCCTGTCTGTCACCACCCCTTAGACTTCCCTGTATGGGGTCCAGCTGGAGATGTGGGAGGGTGATGAGGGCCCAGACAGATAGGGAGGAAGGAGGCAGGAGGCCCTCCTTACGCCGGTGTGTCTATGTGGGTGGGCACAGGTACCCCCGGCCCCTCACCTGTTTCTCCTGCACCCAGGCCTTGGCGGAGGCAAAGGTGGCCAGCTGGGCGGCTGAGCCGACCATGACTCGGGGCACGGCCCCACCCACGCCCCGCCACAGCCCTGCCAGGCCCTGCTGCCGCCAGATGGTCTCCAAGGCACCCAGGACGCTCTGTGGGGAGAGGCACGGGGTCACTAGGCAGCCACTGCCAGCCCAGGACCCCATTCAGCCCACCCAGCCCAGGGAGCTCTGGGGAGTGACGGTCCCCACCTGGTGATGGTGCTGGTGCCCCACGGCCATGGCGGCCACTGTCTGGGCCTGCAGCTGCGTCTTGACCTATGAGAGCAGAGGTGACACAGGACCTGAGGATGGAAGCTTAGGAGAGAGCTGGACGAGCTGTGTATGTGGAAGGCACCCCTCCCTGGGCCCTGACACCCATGCCTCCATGAACCCACTGCACAGCTTAGGGGGAGTGTGGAGGAGGGCTGGGGTGAGGCTCTGGAGTTGGCCCAGGTCTGCACCTGGGTGTGACCTGGGACAAGTTACTGAGCCTTCTCGCGGCCTGTCTGTCTGCTCACCCTGTGAGAGACTGCTCCGCATCCAGGCTAGGACACGGGGCCCTCACTCAGTGGAAGCTTTACTCTTAACTTGCACAAGCTACACAGAAAGACAAGTGACCACACTGGGCTTGAGCCAGCACAGCTCCTGCCACCCTCCGCCCCCTCCCCCGGCTCAGGACCAAGGGGCATATTCCAGGCCTGGGCCAGGACGTTGCAGGGAGCAACCCCACCCAGCCGGCCCCACCCAGCTGGCCCACAGAGGCCAGCCCAGGAGCTGCAGAGCCGCCGTGGGCGCTGGGTCACCGGGTCGGGAAGGATGGAGCGCCCAGGCACTCACCAGGTAAGCTGGGCTCCCCACGATGGCTCCTAGTGCGCCCGCCACAGCGCCTGCGACCACCGTGCCACCCGGCTGCTGGGAGAGGCCAGCCTGGCATGCCAGGCTGTAGCAGTAGAAGCGGACGCCGTTCATGAGGCCCTGGTAGAGGAGGCCAGCAGCCAGCCCCTTCTGCAGGCCACACAGCCCATCTGCACGGGCCACCGCGACTATAGAAGCCATAAGGCCCCGGTAGTGCCGAGGGTAGGTGCCCCGGGCCTGCAGCTCCCCCTGCAGCTGCAGCCGCGTCTTCACCACCTCCAGGGGGTTGGTGAAGACACAGGCCAGGCAACAGGCCGAGGCACCCAGTACCAGGTCCATAGCTGGGGCCACTGTCTCCATGACTTCCGGACCAGGGACAGGCTATGCCCAAGTCAGGGGCATGGGCACTGGCCCTGGAGTGGCAGTGCTTAGGCTGTCTTCACCCTCGCCGGGCCACAGGGCTGGGGATCGAGGGGACCCGGGGCCATGTCTGGAAGGCAGAAGTCCGGGTCAGACAGGACAATCAGCTGCCAGGCGGCCCCTGGTCTATCTCGGGAGTCCACCTGCTCTGCTGGCGCTGGTGCCTTCCTCGGAGCCTGAGACCCGCCCCTGCCGGCTCTGGACCAATCCCAGCTGCCTCCGTCCCCAACACTTCCCTGCAGGGGGAGGGCCTGGACCCTGGGATCTGGGGGAAAGGTCACCTGGGCCCCAGGGAGACTAGGGGCAGGCAGAAAGTACCGATCAGCCTCTTCCCGTCCCACAAGTCCTCCAGCCTCTCCTCAGGCCCTGGGGCAAAGGGCTGGGGCTCCTGCCCAGCCTCTGGCTTAGCCAATCACTGTAGCCCTGGGCGAGAGGCAGCTGCGTGGGAGCCTCCTCCCAGCAACTCAGCTACCGCCCCTCCCGCCCCTGCCACTGGGGGATGTCTCCTTTCCTGGCCTGCCTTCCAGTCTGGCTCCCATGGTCTATGGTCCCATCGTCAGTGAGAGTAGAAGCGGAGAAGGGCTTGGGAGGCCTGTGGAACTGACCTGGAATCCCAGGCCCTGCTATTTTGTGTGAACTGGGCAAGTCACTTCCTCTGAATTTGTCTCCCGGTTTGTTTAGAAGATGGGGTTATGGACACCCACTGCAGGGGTTCTTTGAAGGATTATAGATGTGTGAAAAACATGCTTAGCACAGAGCTTCACCCAATAAAAGGTGGCCCACAGCCTCCCTGCCTGGGGGCCCCTGGGTGGGCAGGAGATGGAAAAATGAGGGCCACTGTGTCTTAAGGAGTGACCTTGTGGCTTTGGTCACTCGCCTGGTAAGGACTTGCCCCCTAGTCCTGCCCCTTCTCCTGGTGGGAGCCCCTCTTGGGCTGTGGTTCTCTGGAACAGAGGCCCATGCATGAAAATGGCCCTTTGTGCCTGGCGAGAAGGGACCTCCCACCCCTGGGCACTACTGTCAGGCTCAGGCAGGGGGCCAGCACCACTTTATCCACGTTGGCCTCTGTCCCATGGCACGTCTCTCCTGCCAGGGCCACCCTGCATCACCCAAGTCCCAGTCAAAACCGCAGGCCATGACTGGAACCCCACCTCTGCAGCCTCCACCCCTGCCTCTTCCTGGGTCTACCCCTTTTCCTCCAAGGTGTGAGGGCCTGGCGGCTGCGGTGCTGAAGGGCTCAAGGGCCTCAGAGCTCCCCCTGGCCTGGCAGGCTGGGCACCTTCTGGTCAGCACCAGCGTAGCAGCTCATCACGAGGTCCTGGGGACAGCCTGGATTCTCCTGGGTTTATCCCGAGTGGCTGGCACTCACCCCACCAGAGCTGGGGAGCCTGGGGAACAGAACGAGTGCCCTGCCCTGGCAGTGGAACTGGAGCTGGCGGCTGCCCTCCCCTGGCCACCGCAGGGAACAGGAGGGAGGGCAAAGGTCAGGCCAAGACTTTCCCAGGGTCCAAGCTTCTCCAGACAGTGAGAGACAGTTGCAAGGGAGCAGCTGAGGGTGATCTGGTACCCAGTGTGGGCATGGAGCCTCTGACAGGAGAGCAATTTGTGGAATGAACAAATGATGGGCATGGGGCCTGAGAGGAAGGGTTGGAAACCCACTGCCTCCACCTGGTCAAAAAGGGATAGTGACAAGTCTTGGCAATATAACATGTCTATTTTATTTTAAAAAACAAAACCCAGACCACCTGACCCCTTCCCCCAGAGGGCTGTCTTGGGAAGGACCCGGTTCAAGCCAAGCAGGGGACAGTCAGACGGACCAATGTGGACACAGGGCTGGTGGGCTCTGTTCCTCTCAAGCCTTCCTCTCTCTGCTTTGCTCCCAGCAAAAGGAGACGACCTGATTCCTGGGTCCTGTGGACACTGCCAGGTGGACATGCAGGGCCTCCTGATGGCCAGGGAGGGCCAGCCCGGCCCCCTGCACCCCTACGGACCCTGGAAGGCAGGCAGCCGTGTGCTTGGGGATGGAGTTGGTGAGAAGACATGCACTGAGATCTCGGTGTTCCAGCTTCCCTCCCAGCCGGGTGAATGTTCAAACGTGAACAAGGATGGCCGGGCACTCAGGGCCCCCAGGGCGGCCTAAGCCTCTGCCCGGGCCCCTGACCCAGGGGAGGAAGAAGGCGGTCCGGCCTCCCAGTCCTTCGGCTCCCTTCGTAGACGAAGGCGGAGGCCCCAGGGAGGAGGCCGTGCCTCTGCAGAGCCCATAGGGCTCGGACTCTCTGCCCCCAGCACTTCCCAGTTGCCACCTGCTGGCCAGGAGGCTCAGGATGTTGAGCAGTCGTTCTGGATCCCGGGGAGGGAGATCCTGTCTCGAGCCCCACTTGGTTCTGCCGCCCGGGGCCGGAGTGGGTCATGGGACTGGGGTGGGAGCCTGGCCCCAAGCCGCTCAGTGACACGGCGATGACAGTGCCTGCTGCTTGGCGTGCCCCACTTTCCTGCCCCGCCGGGATGCCAGACAGCTCCGCCTCAGCACCAGGGGTCACGGGAGGCCCTGCCACGGCACAGGCTATCGCTCCGCTGCCAGGCGCTGTGGATGAGGCTCAGGGCGTCCTCGAACTTCTTCTTGTTGGAGGCTTCCTGGATGGCCTTGTGGGGGAGGTCCACCTGCGGGGGCCATGGAGGGGATCTGTAAGCGTTGTGCAAAGAGCTCCCAGGGAGCCTGGGGTCCCTCCATGCCAGGTGCAACCTTGCCCCGGAACAACATCCATGCTGCTGAGTTCTCCTGCTGGTCAGGAGGGGCGCGAGCCGATGGGGTGGTGATCCCTGCACCTCCTCCTTCCAGGGAAGGCCCTGGCTCTTGGAGGCCAGGGGAGGCAGGCTCTGCCCCTTAAAGTATCTGTCTGGAACCGTGCCCAGGGTTGGTCCAGAGCTTCCGCGGGGCAGCACAGCACATGCTCAAACCACAACCTGTCCAGGCATTTGAGGAGTGCCTTCTCAGCCTGGAAGCTCTGGGCGAGGAGGAGCGCCCTGCCAATCCTGTGCCCCTACCATCTGGGTGCAGCTCTAGCCCCAGCATAAGCACTTAATTCTTGCTTTTTGATGGGAGCTGAGAAGGTCAGGAGTGGTGTTTCCTGGGCTCTACTCCCAGCTTTAGCCTCAGACTCACAGGGAGCCAGGGTCTTGCCCCTTTGGTCCTCCATGTCCATGTCTGTCCCCGCGCTACTGGTCCGGTGCCACCCCTGGCCCCCGACTCCTGCCTCCATCTGTGCCATGCAGGGCTCCCTTCCCCAGGGAATGGCTCCACTCTGCAGGGCAGCCGGGTACCTGGTAGATGGTTTTCCACCCAGAGTTCAGTGCAGACAGGAATCGGTCCAGTTCAGATGTGCAGCTCAAGTAGATGACCCAGGGAGGGAGGGGCTGTTGGCTATCCTGGGAAAACTCCTGTGGGGAGCGGAGACCCTAGATGAGCAGATACAGTGCTCCTTCCGCAGGGCCTGCCTCCATTGCCTGCCACCCCATCGCTCACCAAGACACAGTACTCCTTGCCCAGGTCAGTGGAGACGGCACTGATGTCGGCCAACTTGGTGGTGCCCAGGGAGCGGAAGAAGCTGGTCTGGCAATCCTCGTGGCATGTGAAGAGGCGGTCGTCAGTGATCACCAGGCAGCAGGGGATACAGGGGCTGGGAGTTACCCCCTGGGGGATGACCTGAAGGGCATTGGCAGAGGGGAGGGGAGAGACAAGCTGGAGCTCTCTATGGCTGGTCTGCACCAGGACTCCCACTCCAGGGGCCAACCAGCCCCTCGGCTCCTCCCTCAGATGTCAGGCAGGCTCCGCCCACCTCAGGAGAGCAGGGGCAGACAGGGGTGGTGGTGGGGGTGTCAGGCCACTAAGCTCCAGGGGTCACTCCTGGGCTGGAGGTCCCGTCTTGGTCCTCAGAGGGTGCTCCACGACTAGAGTGGGTTGGGGAACAGATCCTGGGGGTCCTGAGTGGAGTCGGGAGGCAGGTGAGCAGCGGAGGCAGGAGGCACTCACCCCTTTGGACACGGCCTGGCAGAGGTGCTGCATCCAGTCGGCCATCTCAGCCTCGCTATCTGCGCTCAGCTCCAGGCAGGGCCGGTCTGCAAGGATGACCTGGAAGGCGTGGGGCCGATCCGTGGTGTTGGATCTCCGACAGCCACCGCACTGCTCCCCCCTGGGCCAGAGGAGGAGGGTGAAACGGGAGCGAGGAGGCAGGGGTGGCAGGGGTGAGCCCCGGGGATTGGCTCGAGGCGTGCTGACAAGGCACCTGCCCCAGAGTCTCGAGGGCTGGAGGACACTGGAAGATGATCCAGACACCCCTGGTTCTCAGGAGAGGCTTAAAGCTGCTGGGCAGCTGCGCCTCTTTCTATGTAACACCTTTTTATCTCAAACATCGCCAGGATCCTTCTAGATACCTAAACAGGGTCAGGTCAGGGGTTGACAATCAGCTCTGGGCTCCCGCCCTCTCAGAATCAGGGCACATTCATTCATGTTCCCTCTTTTGCAACTGATGTTTCCTCCCAGCATGTGTATCCATCTTCCCCATCCGGTCAGGTGCTTCCCGGGAAAGGACTGCCTCCCCTATTAGCCTGGGGGCTGCCTGCCCTATCTGACTGGATCCTTTCCAGGCAAGGAGCTCCTCTTTCTTCCCCCTTCCCCTCATTCCCCTAGGACTCAGCAGACTCCGGGGCACCAGTCAGGGCTACGGATGGGGGTGGAGCTGAAGGCAGGAGCTGACAAGAGGGAGAGACAATAAAGCCAAGGAGAACAGGAGCCCTGAGCCCCAGGCCCCGCCGGAGCCTTGGCCTTCAGGCAGCGACATGGGCCCCCCCACCTGCCCAGCACCCCCATCGCCCACGACACTCACCCCATGTTCACCGAGAGCAGGGGGGTGACGTCAGTCCGGTCGGGGTACTGGTAGAGGATCCCGTTGCTGCAGGGGCACAATGTGGCAGGGGTGAGGCCCATCCCAGGAACTGGGGGCCAGGCGGAACCCAGACTCCAGGGACCCCCCCACAAGCTGGGTCCTGAATCCCACAGGACCAGAGGCCAGGAGGCTGAGGCCTGTCTTCTACGGCAGGGAGTGGGTGGAAAACTGCACAGACAGCAGGGAACGCACTCGCTCAGAACTGGGGACAGCCCAGGTCTCCACCTGAGGCATTCTGGGCTTCCTTGGGCCCCAGATGGCTGGCTTTACAGAGAAGCTCTAGGATCCCGGGGGACGTCTTCTCCAAAGCCCTTGTGGGGGAGGGTGCTGTCCCCCACCCCCAACTTCCAGGCCGGAGCTGCAGGGCCTCCCACCTGAGCACCACGAAGCACGTCTTCCAGTGCTCCTTGCCCAAGTAGGAGGTGCCCGCCTTGTAATGCAGCATGCCTTCTTTGGTGATGGTGCCCTCAGGAGGTGAGCAATGGCAGGGGACGGGGCCCAGGGATTCATCCAGGGGGTCCTCCCAGTGCACAAGCCCGTAGAAGCGCACAGTAACAGCAGTTGCCTGGGGAGGAGGCAGCAGACAGAGCAGTGAGGTCTGGGCCAGCAGCAGGAGTGGCCGCTGGGGGGCCAAGGACCCACCCCAAGTGGGGAGGGGGACAGCCGGGGCAAGATGGACAAACACTAAAGATAGCTGTTTGCACCTCCTGACCCTAATACAGGGCTGGCATCTCCGGGACAACCGCCCCACATCCCCGGGTTCTTACCTCACACTTAGACTCCTGGGCCACAAATTTGGCCAGTGCCAGCTTCTCCATAGTGGCATCAGTCAGGATGCTGGGGTAGGGTGGTTCCCGGCAGCCCTTGATCATTGCCGACTTCAAAGAAGCCAAGAAAAACCTGCACAGGGAGTGGGGCTTGCTGCCAGAGGTCTGGGGCCCCCACCCCTCAAATGGACCCAGCTTAGTCCCAAAGGCTTCTGGCCTGGAGGGGTCACAGAATCCTGGGGGAGGGGCCTGGCTGGAACCAAAGCCCAGGGCGGCGGGGAGGGCAGTGATACAGTAGCAGCACACGCTCATCAAACGGTGACCTGGGAAAGGCCTGACCCTTCCCAGTGGCCAAAGGGCCTTGGGGCTTGAACGCAAGGAGGACTGGACAAAATGATGCATCAGGACTTATACAAAGACACACTCTCAGGACACACAGTTTTCGTACAGAAGATGTGGGGCCCGTGTGGCCCCGAAGCAGGGCCTGCGCTCTCCTTCCTTTGGGGAGACTCCTGCCAGCCCCCTTTCTCTCTGTGGACCATGCAGTTGGTCACCTCCCTGCTCCTCTGCTTGGCCTGCAGGCTCCAGGGGGAACTTACCTCTGTTTCCCTCTTTGTGTCCCACTTCCCACCCTTCACCCCCGGGGGTGGGGAGGCCGGGCACTGCCAGGCCCGTGGGAGACACTGATTCTCTAGGCCTGTGGACAGCAGGGCTTGTCACTCACTCGGCCAATGCCATGTCCGCTGTGTCCAGCAGAAACTGCTTCCTGCGGTTGGTGCACACCAGCTTCACCGTCTGCTGGTCGAGGCCCACCTGCCAGAAACCACACCCCGACATGCACACGGGGCTTGGCCATGCCTGCCAGATGGGGCAGCCATGGCCAGACTGAGAGCCGGCTGGGGAGGGAGGAGTGACTCTGGGGTCACCATGAGGTAAAGCCCTCAGGGGCCTGGGCCCTGGCACAAGTTAGGAAGGGATGCTCAGACAAACAGCGGGGGAAGAGGCAGCCTTGAGCTTGGGTCCCATCCCTGGCACCATGTACCGCAGCTGCTGTGGGATAAGAGCTGGCTCCAACCTCGGGGCTGAGGCAGGAGACATGCCCGGCCCTGCAGCTCTGGGTGGGCGGGCCAAGGGGCCCTGCCCTACAGGACACACCAACCGCAGAGCCTGAACTCACCGACACATAGTCAAGTTCATTGTAAGAAACAGCCTCTTCCACCAGGTATGGCTTCTCTGTGGCCCCTGAGGGAGGAGACCCCAATGCCTATTACCCCCGCTGGCCTCTGTGCCCTCCCCCTGCCCAACTCTCTAGGATCTGGCCCCCTCTCTCGGTCAGGACCCGTCCTGGCCCTGTGATCTGAAATGACGGGGTTGGAGAATGACACGGGGTGCTCACGGAGGGGCCCCCAGGCCTACGTCCTGGGGATGCTGGAAATGCTGGCAGCCCCTTCCGTGGGGAGCATTTTCATCACCATGTGCCAGGCAGCTGAGAGACACCCGGGGTGAGGGGGCACGGGGAGCAGGGGGCGGAAAGTCAGTCTCATCCTCCACGTGCCCTGGCCTAGCCCGGGCGGCAGGCACCTTTCCGGAGCAGGTAGACGTAGCAGTCTGTGAGCAGCACGTACAGCAGCTGCAGGTTGCCCTCCATGTGCCCCGTGCTCATCCGGATCATCTGAGGGGCCGAAGCACACAGAGGTCAGGCACTGCGGCCGCGCCCTGGCCCGGAGCGCACGCACGCTTCCCCTTCTGAACGCGAGCCGAGCGGGCCAGTCCTGCCTCCCCCCTCCGTGTGGGCTCCTGCTCGTCCTTGAGACCCTGGGACTTACTTTGAAGAGCTGCTCCTCGTTTTCCCGAAACACATGGATCATCAGCAGGAGTAGGTGGTTGTTGTCTACTCTGTGAGAGGGACAAGCGTGGGGAGGGCGAGGTGTGAGGCCAGGGCGGGCGGGAGAGGCCGCACAGGCACATGGTGACGATACATGCGCAGAGGCGATGCAGGCACCCAGAGGCAGCGCAGTGGCAGTGCCCTGGCCCCTGCCAGGAGCCTCAGTGAGGGAGGGGAGGACCACAGCCCTTCCGACCTCCCAGCCCACGCTTAGTTTATTTGGAGGGTGAGGCCCAACGTCCCCTGATCAAGGAAAGGGGTGTCTCACGCAGGTGGCATAGACAGACGTGCTCACCTGAACTCCGCCGAGTGGGTCATCTCAGAAGGGCTCCCCTGTCCCTCATCCACCCCAGAGTCCTCAGCGCTGCTCAGACAGGGGCTAGGCTGGTCTCGCTTGAGCCGGCAAAGAGCCTCCTGGGTCCCAGGCTCCGGCTCTGGCCCCTCACCAACCAGGGGCAACTGGGTCTCTGGGCCCTGGGTCTCCGGCTCCCGAGCCTCCCCTGGGGTGTCCTCTAGGGGCCGAGGCGCCTGTCCCGCTCCTCCTCCCTCTTCTTGGCCAGCAGCCGCAGGGCCACCAGGAACATGCAGCGGTTGGCCAAGCCCTGCAGGGTCATGGTTGCCGCCACCTGATGTAACAGTACTTGGACTCTCGACGGTAAAGCGGTAGAAGTCCATCGGGGCTGGAAGCCCCTCACTAAAGTCGCAAAATGGCGGCCTCTCCGGGGTGTCCCCGGAAGAGACGGTCCGAAAGGACTGGTTGGGGGGCTCGACGTGGGAGCACCAGGTGCTGGGGTCCAGCTGCCCGTTGAGCTGGTTGATGACCTTACTCAGGGGCTGCCCCAAGCACTCCATGGAGGTGTCCTTCATTTCGGGGATAAGCAAGGCCACCTGGCCAGGCTCTGAGCGCTCGCTGCCCTCGGCGGCGCTGCTCGGCCCCTCTCCCTCCTCTGGGGGCGACCCAAGGGCAGTGTCCGGTGAGCCACGCCCAGGGCCTGGGCTGCTGACAAGGCTGTCACCATTCCCCCGCCTGGCACACGTGTGTTGGGCAGAGGCCGGGTGAAGGGGACTTGCTTCCTCATCCGATCTGGGTTTCTTCTTCTTGCCAAGCTTCTTCTTCTTGGTGACCCTGGACAGCAGAGATGGGGAGAGGCTTAAGTCTCAGCACCACAGTACTGAGGGAAACGAGACTGGCTGGCTTAAAAGAGGTGATCCTGGGCAAGGGGCCTTCGGGGGGCCCGGGCAGCACTGGGTGCGAGGCCCTGGGCCAGGGGCTGACAGCGCTCAGGCTCCGAGCTACCTCCCAGTGCCGGCAGAGGTGGGGACCCGCCGAGGGAGGCACAGACGGCAGCAGACAGAGGAATCCCCGAGCAGGTCCTGCGAGCGCCAGCTGACGGCACACCTGGGCGAGCTGTGCTCCTGGCCATAGTTGGTCAGACCAGTGGCCCCCCTACTCAGCCTCCTCTTAGGATGTGGGCAGTGGACCCTGAGCTGACATCTCACATCCCAGGTATCACTGTGGATAATCAAAAGACTCAAAGTCGTTTGAACTCAAACTCCTGGCTCCTTGGTCCCAAGCTGGCTGGAGGGGGCCTGGCTAAGCTATCCTGGGTCTGAACCACTCAAATTGCTCTGGACTCAAATAAGCCTGTGGGAGCAGGACTGCTGGTTCCAGTCACTGGGGAGCAATTCCCCGGGCCTTGGGCTGGCAAGCCTCTGGGAGGTTTGACACACACATCTTTTTCAGTGCAACAGACTCAAGGGCTGGAGCCAGGAGAGGTCAGGGAGCCGAGGCGGCTCTGGCCCAAGAGTATCCCAACTTGTCATCCACCTCCTCCTTCCCTTCCTTCCATGTCGCTGTCAATATGACAAAGAGGCTCCTCTTTCCATGAGCCATGCTGAACTCCAGTTAGTACAAAGCTCAGAAATTATGCACTAATGTCCAAGAACTCCCTTGGAAAGAAGTCCTATCTGAGGTGTTTTCTGGATGACAGGACAGATGCCCCAGCAGCCTGGGCATGGCCCTGGAAGCCAGTCACCTCCAGGCTCTGGCCTCAATTCCTCTTGATCAAAGAACCACCAAGGAGGGGAGAGGTACTTAGTCCCCAGGAAGATGCCCAGATGCCCTCGGTATTAGGGGGAGGCCTTAGTTTATAGGGACTAAAAGTGATGCTAGGAATGGACAGGACGGACACCAGGATGCCCACTCAATTTCTCTTGGGACCCCTCCCCCGCTGACCTGATGACCTCGAGCTCTGTGCAGTCTGGCAGGTCTAGGGTGTGGGACTCCTCCTTCTCCTGAGACGTGGCGTGCACAGGGGTGGTGTCGGAGGAGGACACGGTCTCTGCCTGGTCCTCATTAAAGGGGTTGTGGCGCTGGGTGGGACTCTTGGTGGAAGCCTTGCTGCTGGTCGGGTCCGAGGCAGTGGAGCGGGGGCCACTGACCGTGTCTGTGAGGTCTCCATCTGGGAGAACAGGGAACAGGAGACAGCCCGTCGGACACCATCTGGGAACCCCAGGCCCCCAAAGCATGCCTTATCTCAGGAGGGAGGCAGGTGAGTTCTTCCCAGGGAAATCTGGCCTGGGTGGCTGTTTCAGGAGTAGAAGCCCCAAGCCAAAGGACATGGAATCTGTGCTGTGAGAGCAACGTGGGGGGATGTCAGCACCACCACCCCTGGGAGCCCTTGAGAGCTCATAACAATTTGGCCGAGTTTGAGTTAAGAGCCCCAGTGTTAAGCAACCTATAGGCTTAAGCCCCTCAAGGATGGTGACCTCAGTGCCTCAAAAGATGGGCTGCATACCTCTTAGGCTCACCTTAGAGCCTCCATCAGGGACTGCCAGAGCGGACCCGGCAGCCTTTCTGGCACCCCACGCCCCTGGCAGGGCTGAGATACCCAAAGTCCTCTGAAGGGTCCCCCACAGTGGCAGATACAAAGGAAGGAAGGAAGGGAGAAGAGAACCAGGAGAAAATGAAGGGTGCCGAGGCTGAGGACAGGACAGGGAGTCCAAGGGTGAGGAGCAGGGGCAGGGGCGGAAAGAAGGACTCAGAGCACAGAGGAGAGACTGAGATGCAGAGGGAAGGAGGAAGGTGTGCAGAGTGGCTGCTCCCCACCAGACACCTCGTGGGTCCTTCTTCCCCGACGACCCCCAAGCACCCTTTCAAGGTGGGTGCTGAGAACTGCATTTCGTCCAGACCTCAGCTTGTCTCCTGGTTCTCCCTGGGTGCGCTCTCACCCATGGCTCCACCGCGGGGATGATGCAGCCCCTCCACAGAGGAGCTGGTTTACTGGCTCCCCCCGCCCCCAACTGTCCACCCCAAGTCACTGGAACGGGACACGGAGAGGAGGGAGCGTCAGCAGGAAAAGCACACGAGGCATTTATCCAGTGGCAGACGGGAGGCCGCCCAAGCTGGCGGAATAGCCTGGGTGACAGTTAATGGCGAAGGACACAGGATGCTCACGCTCCATTTGCCAGCCCGCACACATCTTGCTGGCCGTTACTTGCCCAGAGAAGACGTGGAAAACATGCTTCCCACCCTCAGCCTCACCTGGAAGGGCCCAACCTGCTGCCAGCTTCTTAGTGGGGCTTGGAAACCGCTGGGCAGCTGTCTGCTGACATAGCACATCATCAAAAGTACACTGTTTTTTCATATAAGGACTAAGGAGGAGGCTAAAAGCAACCGCCAGTTCTGCTGGAAAAACACTAGATACACGACGTTTTCTTCTCATATCCAGGGACCCCAGAGCCCTGGTTCTCAGACGTAGAAAACCCTGCCCTTCAGTCTGAGAGAAGGCCCCTGCAAAGCCCACGTGTTCCTGTTCCAGCCCCTGAGACGTGCAGTTGCTCAGGGGAGGAGTCCCAAGAGGTGAGGGAGCAGACCATCCACGGTGGGGCCGGGACACCCGCCAGTTCTGTGAATGAGCCAAGGACTGTGGAAAGGCCACCCCAGTCCCCACCTCAGGGTCCAGAGCTTGGAGCTGCTCCCAAGTCCTGCTTTCTTCTGGGTCTAAGGAGGGGACAGAGCCTCCCCAGGTGAGCTGCCAGGGTGGGCTCAGGGGCCCTTCTGTGCTTGAGGAATTCAGGAAAGCAGCAGCTCGCTGCGGGGACAGATCTCATCCCGGCAGAAGCCCAGCCCCGCCCGAGCAAGCAGCGCCACTGGGCCGTTAGTTCTCAGGCCCCGGGGAGCTCTGAAGGGCTGCGGGGGAGGGTCAGGCCCCGCTGGTCAGGTGACTGCAACAGGCAGGAAGGAGCCAGGGCAGGAAGGGTTAGTTGTTAGAATCAGAGGGGAAAATCGACGCCCAGCATGTGCGCTGCCAGAAGAGAGGCTGAGAGGACAAATGAGGTCAGGATGGAATTCTGGATTTCAAGCTAATGTTAACTGAAAATGGGAGACTTTCCAATCCTACTCTCTTGGCCAGATGAGTTTATTTTTCCCACTGCCCCATTTGTTTCCCTCAAATTTAGGCTACTTCATACTCATGTAACTTGGGAAAAGATCACCTGTCATCCATTATTCACGGATGACAGCTCTAACGACGAGGCGGCCAGCTCCGAGCAGCGGTGAGAACTGCCGGCTGCTCAGCTCAGGGTGAGCACCTCCTCCTTCAGAGGTGGGGCCGCGCCCCCACCCTGGGCAGAAGGGCCCTCAGGACAAGAGGCTCTTTAATAAAGGGGGCGAGGTCTGGTTATGGCCTCAGATTTAAGGAGGGAGTATTCTCCGTCTCAGAAACACGTCCCATGCTTGGAGTAATCATGGGAATAGCTTTATGAATTTTCTCAAGCCCAGAAGGGGCGTCATCAGCAGAAAAATGCCCAAGCACTGCTGCCGCCTAGTGGACAGGGTGGGAAGGTTGACAGATTTTATTTTAATCTGCCTTAAAACTTCAAAGAGAATCTCCCCATAGGAAGTTTCAGCTCTGCC